GGGAAAGAGAGTAAATGGGTGCCTGGTTCTGTAGGATCAAAAAAATGGGATAACCAGCACTCCAAACAAATACTATTAATAAGGGCAGAAAACAGGACGCGTTTCGGCTACATGCCATTGTCAACTTGTACAAGTACAATCATATTTCTTGGAGTGCTGGTTATCCCATTTTTTTGATCCTTCAGAACCAGGCACCCATTTACTCTCTTTCCCTTTTTACAAGGAAACTTCAGTTGCGCGCACTATTTTTTTTTATTCCTCTACTCTGTGGAACCAATGTGACTATTTAAGCAGCTCAGACAGTAATCACTTGTTTTAACATTGTTTTATCAGCAACAATAAATATATTCTATTCTATTCTATTCTATTCTATTCTATTCTATTCTATTCTATTATATTATATTCAGGCAGAATATTTACTGTCAGTCAATTTTAATTGATTTTAGTCTTTTGTTTTGAAGCTGGACTTTGATTTTAATTCACAATGTTTTGAATTAATTTGATTTTATTTGACGTAGCTTACYACCATCAGTGCAAGACTTGGTAGTAACGACRTTTACTCAGTTACATTTACWTAAGWAWCTTTTTTGAAAACAAATMCTTTTAGGAGTATTTTTACTACACTGTGCTTTTGACTTTTACTTGGGTCMTTATATTATGAAGTATTGCTACTCTTGAGTAAAATGTCTGAATAATGTACCCACTGTGAGTAACTTCAGYGAAGCTTCTTTTTCTTAAAAAAAATTCACCAGACACAGACACACGTGTCTTTATGTGTCCCTGGGATGGACTTGCAACCAGTCCAGGGTGTAACCCTCTCCAGCTGGATATGGGCACCACTGTGACCCCTGTGACCCTGACAGGTACAATTGGGTATAGATAATGGAAGGTGGAATGATTTGGAAAATGTTTATTTTTGCCTGAATTTGTTATTTTGTAATTATGTTATCTATATTATTTTCATTTTAATCTGTAAAATACCTAAATTTCTACATAGCCTTCTATTTTGATCTGATTGTGTAATTTTTACATGTTCCTCTTCTAATATATGATTGATTTCAGTATTTAAGTAGCCTTTTTACCATTTTTTAAAAACTTTTATTGATTCATTTTTTGAATGGCAACATTTTACTTTTACTTGAGTAGAAATATGTTGAAGTAAAGGTACTCTTACTTGAGTTGAGTTCAAATTTTGGTGCCCACCTCAGTGAATGATTGGCTCAATAAAAATTAAGGTCTTATTTGAACCATTTTATCAACTTTGGTTAATTTGTTCTGTGTGCTGTGGAGATAAACTTTAACTTGACGTCATCATTCTCACCTTCACTGGTGTTATGTCTCAAACATAATAAAACTAAAGTTACTTTCTGACTTTTTAAACGTGATGAACGGTGTCAACTTCTGGAAATCTCYGGGTTCTCAAGTTATCTTTTCTACAAGATCAAACCGATGTAATTCAAGAGATATTTTTCCTCCAATTTCTTAATTTTGATTATTTTTTTAAATACTTGGATCTAATCCAGGTAACTTTAACCAAAACACTTCGTCCAGCAGGGATGGATTGCATCATTTGGCAGCAATAGTCCTAACTAATTAGATGAGTTTGAAAAAAATCCAAACCAATAAATAAATAAATAAATAAATAAATAAATAAATAAATAAATAAATAAATAAATAAAAGCTCCCACCACCAGCTCCAGCCTCTCGCTCCCCCTCCCTCCCCCTCTTCCTGCTCGGTGCCGGAGTGCTGGAGTCGCTCGGTGGATCYCGCCAGAGCGCGCATCTCCGCATCGCTTCACGCCTCGCGGTGCGGGACTGCTGCCRCGCCGGGACTCACAGGAGAGGCAACAAGAAAGAGTGCGGGTGTGGGGGGAGAGGAGGCAAAAAAAAAAAAGTGAACAGCGTTCAGTGTGTGTGGGGGGGCAGAACGCGTGGGAGAGGAGAGGAAAAAGAGAAGCGGCCGGAAGGGCGGCAGGAGCGGAGAGGAGCGGAGCGCACCATGGCTTCAAAGGAAACAGCAGCCGCCGGCTTCTCCAACGTCAGCAGAGAAATCACAGGTGAGTTTGGTTGGACTTTGTTTTTCTTTTTTTTTTTTTAAGTGAGAGTTTTCAGATTCTTATCTATATTTTTATTTGTTTAAATCAAAAAGCAGAATGTTCAGAGGAAAGATTGTCTTGGTTGGGCAAGAGTTCAGATGTCTCACAGGACAGAAACAACAATAAGAATAAGAATCTCGTTTTGCTTGGTTTAACTCATTCATCATTCAGTTCACCACTTCTGAAACTCATCCAACGAGTCCCGTTTGTTGAGTTATTTCTCGGCGTCCACGTGAGCGCGTCCGTGCGCTTTTCATCCTTCATTGTGGACTTTTTTTCCTTCCCATTTTCTTTATTCTCTCTGTATGTGCGCGCGCGGGGGTGGAGGTATGACCGGGAGCGCTTTGCTTATTTGCGCGCGGGCTGAGCGTCACCGTGCTCGGGCCGACGGGATGTCAGAGAAGGTGCGCCTCTCACTGTTAATTATCCTGATGTGGAGAGTTAAGTCTCAGCCTCGCCAAGCTCCTTCTGTCTGGTCTGCTGGGGAGTGAGGGGGGCCAGGTTGGCTCATTAAAACACCTACGGCTGGGTGGTGGTGGGATGGGGTGGGGGGGATCACAGAGGAGAGGAGGGACTTGTCAACAAGTGAGGAGAAGAGAGGCTCCTGTTTTATTCCCTCTGGGAGCAGAGTCTGAGGTCACCCTGACAGGCCTGACAGGGGGTGAGGGAGAGGGGAGGAGGARGKGGGGGCAGTGCATAGTAACTTAAATGGTTTAAGTGATTGGGTCTTACCCAGTCTAATGCCAATAACTCCACGTTTGTCTTCAGCTGATCCTTCTTCTCTCAATCCACCAGTGGGYCCCCACTCAGCCCTCACCCCACCCCTGTCTCATCTTCCCAGCATCTGCCGCTGCTCAGTCGGGCATGGCAGCCAACTTCACGGCTGTTGCCGGATCGGAGAGGATGCAGTACAGTGAGGGAGTTCGGGAGACTTTGACACAATGGAGTGTAGGGGACGCAGCATGAGCCGCTGCCTCTCCATCTGCCGGGGCCCCGCGACGAGCGCATATTTTAGTGTGATGGACCCTGTTCAGAACGTGGGCTCTGACTATCGGTGCAGCTTGTTGGCATATGTCCCCGATTGCCTATGTGTTGTGTTTGGAGGCTGTGATTTTCAGGATGTATTATGCTGGTGGAGGGGGAGATGTTAAACAGAGGGGGGCCTTGGGTTAGTTACAGCAGAGCGGACTGGTGTGGTCCCTGAAGGTAGCAGCTCTGTTTGGTTCCACTGAGATGAGTCAGATGCTTCTTTCATTTTCAGGGGGCAAAAAAGGAATCCATCATGGTTGTGTCTCAGTGGGCTGAGAGTTGGAGACTCAAAATTGCAAGAAAATAAGCAAATTTTCACTTGAAAACACACTGGATTTGTACTTAGAAAATGTAGGTGAACCTCTATGGAAATAAATTGCAACATTTGTGCGAGCAGCAATTTGCAGACCTGATAAATTTAGACTGTTTGCAAAAAGTGTGCAGTAAGTCATATGAATTGCGAGAGCAATGTCAACCCCTTCGGACATTTACTTGTAGGCCTATCTTGACTCTTGATCATTTGTAATTTTCACAATACATTTATATACTCTTAAACACTTTGATGTGGGGGCTCYGGGGGGCAGGGTTGGAAGGGACAAGCAAACTGTGGGCAATGAAAATGTACTTGGAGGCAAAGATAGAAGCATCTGCAGCAGCAGAGAGACTAGGGGGAGGGAGGGGGTGAGTGGGACAAGGAGCTTGCCGGCCACTTAAATTTATTTGAAGTAAAGTTTTTGAAAAMCATCCACAAGACTTTACTATACGTCTCTATCCATGCAAAATAAAACTTGAGTATGGTTATTTGAAGAATCATAGTTTTTGTGTGATTTATTTGCAAAACTGTTCATAGGTTTGTGAACATAATTCCATTGCCCACTTCCTCCACCTATTATACCCACCTCACTCCTCTTTATCTTGGCAGCTGTCCCTTTGTTTCTGATTGCTGTACACTTTCATATGAAGAGTTAGACTTTGACTGGCCCTTGCCTTCCTACGCAGTTCCGCTCAATTCTATTTTACCTTCACTGCTCCGTCTGGGAACGAGGATTTCATCGGGAGCATTTCATCCGGGCCAATCAGAGAACAGAACGTCGATTTTCTGTGCAGTGTCTGCTTGTAGTTTATTTTACCTGGGCCAATCAGCAAACAGAAGGCGGAGTTTTGAACAACGTCAATTTTCTGCACAGTGTCTGCTAGTTAGTTTAGCATACAGCAGTGGAGGAAGTGAATGAAGCCAGTCCGTGTTGATAAGGCTTCCAAATTAAAATAAAATTGTCTGACAGAGCAGCAGCTCTCATTTACAGCTGTCTTGTCAGTAGGGTTGTTTACAGCGCACATGATTTCCAGTTAGCTTCTTAGCTTAGCCTCCTTCACAGTGGAGCTCGCGTACACATACTGTACATTGCGCCCAAATGATCCAATCATTTTTAAACTTTAGCAGAGGCCACGCCTCCAGCAAGAGTAGCTCTATAACCGAGAGTCCAGACCCTCRTATAAAGCAAAGTGAAGGACGAGAGTCTGGTTTTTACCAGTTTAGCTTTTCACCCATTTTATATATATTTTTATTATCTGCTTGATGTTTAGATTTGGGTATTTGGGTCCGTTGTCTTAGATTTGTTTTTAAGTTGGTTTTATGAGTTTATTAGTGAGTTTTAATATTGTGATGTTTTTATTTGTTAACTGTATTTTACACTTTTATTTTATGTTGCTAAAAGCCCATCTAGGGACAGGTGTTGCAAATTAGCTCTGGCCATAAATGTTGTGGTGTATTGTATTGTTAATTCATGACACTTGTCCCTATTCAAATAAACAATAAATGGAATGAAATGAGAAATTTCCAGTCCTTAGCCTGCTCCTATAGAAGATGAAAAACATCTCCTGAACTGTAGATTTATGGAAACTAAATTAACGAGGGTTTCAGGCTGCTGCAATAGTTTATTGAGACAAGATTTGTTGCCCACCATTTTGAACATGTTCAAAATCCAATCAACAAAACGGTGTCTTTGAAACTAACGCAAGGCAACCGAGAACTTCTGCAAAGGTTTTAAAACATTTTGAACTCTCTCTCACAAACGTTATTCTCCATTTAGTGTCCAGCAGCGACATCCCAGTGATTTACTCTCCAGGCCCCATGTGAAGCTCCGTATTCAAATCTAAGTCAATCTAGTTGTTTCGCWGCCAGTTAAAAGGTTGAAGGAGTAATCCACCTTTGTCTCCTTCCAAATGCAAAATCAGGGACAAAATGTAGCACACATAAAATTATATTAACTCAACTTGGGTCTATTTTATTATGTTTCATTCTGTTTTTGAATGGACTATATTTAATAAAAGTTCTAAGGCAGATTTTCTGTTGGGTTTGTTGGATCATTTCCAAAAAGTGTCACCTGCTGGTGTCCTAAATCCAAGTTTAATACCTTGATGTTCTGCTTACATTTCTATTTTAAGACACTAATTCCACTAAACACAAATGATGAGAAAAACAGTAAGAAAGTGAAAAGTGACATTTTTATTTTCTCCTTGACTTGATCAAATCTAAAGTCTTTTTGTCAGATGTTACCTCACTGTTCTACAAAGATATAAAAAAAAGGTTACAGAAAAAATAACATATGAAGAGATCAATGAGATTGAGATCTGATGACTGTAAAGCTGAAGACAAATTCCTGGATCTACATCTGTAAACATGTTAGTACCCTACAGGCAATGATACATTTCCACACACTGTCAAGTTATTTAAAATAACCAGACTCTTGATGTCACAGTTTGTGATCATACACACTTACTGATTTGACTTTATTATTCACAATATTCTAACAAAAAATGGAACTTTACAGCAGTGCAATATTATTCATTCTGTATATTAATATCGCATATTAGCACCAGCTGCCTTGTGTGATTTATATCATTCTGCTAATAATTATTAGGCTATTGAGGAAAGTTGCAACTCTTTGCACCATGATGTGAAGATGATGTYCACAGCTTCAGTAAGCTAGGGTCAGTGCGTCAAGGGCCCGGCCTTTGGCTGTTGCTCTTAGCACACTGTACTYGACCCGTGTGGCCCTTCGAGCAGCTGGTGGGCCCACAGGGATGCAAACCTGTGGTGTTCATTTGGGTGAGCCCAACCAGGCCTCATGGGTAGAGACCCGATCACCAGGGACTTGCTGACAAGTCCCCACCCCCTGGCATGGCTCCAGGGTGGGGCCCCGGTAATCCATGTCCAGGCGGGGGACATTGAGCTCCTTGTTTGCTATCATCCCTACGAGTGTTATGAATCGCTCTTTGTCTGGCCTGTCATCTTAGGACCAGTCTACCATGGGAGACCCTACCAGGGGCAACTGCCCCAACTGCAAAGTTCCAAACATCATTCAGACAAACAAACTCCTCCCTCATAAGAAGGTAACAAATGAATACTTCCCCCTCCGGATTTGAAGTGAGGCTTTACCTCAATTATGTCAAGGTTTTGTTCACAAGTGAGGGAAGAATGGAGGACGGCATCAGCAGACAAACTGGTGCAGATTGTTGCATTGTGTATTTTGTAACTGTCTGTTGTGGTGAAGAGGGAGCTAAGCTGTTAAGCAAAGCTTTCTGTTTACAGATCGATCTACATTTCTACCCTCACCTAGGATTACAAATCCTGGGTTATCCTCAAAATAATGACTTCACCGATACAGGTGGTCAGAATGAGTTTTTTCCACAGAAGAGATGGACTCTCCCTTAGAAACAGGGTGAGAAGTTCAGATATCCAGGAGAAACTAGGAGAAGAGCTGCTGCTCCTCCACATTCAGAGGAGCCAGTTGAGGTGGTTTAAACATTTGACAAAGACTTCCCCTGGACACCTCCCTAGGGAGGTTTCCTGAACATGTCCAGCTAGGAGGAGAGACCCCATACATGTAGAAGAGACTATGTCTCTTGGCTATAAAGGAATCCTCATGAAAGACGAGGTGGCTGTTTAGCTCTACCCGTTTAATATGTTAACCTGTTTTGAAAGGAACAAAGTAAAACCAACTCACTATATGCTGAGCTGGTTACTAGAAGAGTTATTATTTTGATACTTTTATTTGATCTAATCTTTAAATATGTTCTTATTGGTATAACTCATAAAATACACACA